AAAAAAAATTGGGGGATTGAGCTTATCTCATGTGCATTTAGTAATGTTCAGTTATTGCTAAGGTGTATGTACTACCTATTACCAAGCTAAAGACTGTCTAAAAAGTTGTTTGTTCACTTTGATGGTAAGAAATAGATAGACAAAGTTTAAGCTTATTCAATGCACTTCTAGGGATTCTGGGTGACAGTACCACAGATAGGTACATCGTTCATCTATTCTACCGTTTATGAGAAATTCCGCTCTGTTTTGAACCAAGATTTGGGCATAAACTCGGTTGCTGGCATATCTAGTCTAGCTGGCGGTGCTGCTAGCTTTTGCTCCCAGGTAGGTGCACATCGACTTTTAACAAGACCACTACTGTCCACATTTTTTCAGTCTATATTCGTTCCTACTGATATTATTGCACAATACATGATGGTTTATTACAAAGCTGATAAGTTTGTCGCTGGTACCGACAGAGCAGTACTCGACTACGTCAGGAATGAAAAGAATCCGCGGCTTACTCTTGGTCTGCGGTTCGTCAGAGCTATTTATAAAGTTGATGGATTGAGGGGATTTTATCGGTAAGTTAGCTGATTGCTTCTTCACGAACTTAGCATTAAAAAACCCCTATCATGGAATTGAGCCGTACTGAAAGAAACAGCGTTTTTCATCAAATCTATTCAGCGGTTTTTGTGCTTCCGCCTTAGTTTATGTTCCATCATGTCTTGTCTTCTGGCCTGTTTACTATTGGGTTCAAGACCTTTTCAATTGGGTAACGGTTTTGTTCTTCCTTCCTTTGCTCATTTATCAATTACTATCTTTTTGAGATGCGTAAAAGAACAACAGAAAGTCCTGGACTCCTTCTTTTCGACCAAGCTGTTGCTGCTACTCTTGGCGGTGCTGTATCTACGATCTGCACCAATCCTATGGAAATGTTCCGCATCAGGCTTCAGGTACAACTGAACTTTATTTCAACCGTTGTAGTCACAGTCCTCTTGGTAGAAGAGGAAATCAATTCATACATCTTCAAACTTATTCTTCCGTTTCAGGTACACCGAACTGATTACAAGGACACATTGGCGCGAATGTTAAGAAATGAGAAGCACCTCATTTTTACTAAAGGACTCACACCAAGGTAAGCGCCTTATGCGTAGTTCAAAACGAATTTTTTGCATACAGTTCATTGGTATTATATTGCTCTCTTCTTCTGAATATAGATTTCTTCAGGATGCTGAGTAATTCAATCTATTGCTGTATTGTTATGGTCGGCTATGAGATAGTGAAACGCATTTGTGTACTACCGGAATATAGAGATAAAATTAAGTGGTAGTTCATCATTGAATTGTAGTCAAATAGCTAGTCTACGAAACTATGAACGTGTTGTAAATCAAGTTCTAGTATTCATATGCATATTACTTTTGAGTGAAAGTTTAGTGGTCACTTTTTCTCATGGAGCTTATGATTCTTTATCTCATATTACTGTTGATCCTCACTTGTTAGTGCTTCTAGTCATGTTTTAGCCATTTGGGCGAATAGATGTTGGTTAAACCATGGGGGTTTGTTTGTTTTATAGAGTATGCATAGATGTTTTAAGATGAATAAATGCAATCTGTTATGTGTGTTTTAGTTTTGCTATATCCGTATGCTGCAATGAATACCTATACATTTTCTTCACAAGAAATGTAGT